CTTGTATTAGATTTTACATAATTAATTAAGATGTGGCTGTTAATTACAAGCTTGCTGTACCTTAGCATAAAGATTCTCTTTGGTAGTTACCTTAGCTCCTGCTGGATAGTAAAGGCAAATGTAAAAATACAAATTCCTGTTACTGAGAAAGCAGAGGAATTCCAAGAAATACAACTGAAACAAAATTAGATGATAGCAAGGAGCTGGAGGAGAACAAACTGGGAAGTATCTACTTTATGCTATATCATTTTAAGGCCTGCCTGGGAAGTATGTTAAAAAAAAAAAAAAAGGTGAAAATTACTTGGCAGAAAAGGTATACAGCAGCATACAGATATGACCAAGAACACTGTTGCATTTATAAGCTCTGCTTATTTGTGGAAACATGTGGCTAATAACACTTCTTCTCATATATTTCACTTGCATAGTGTTCAGAATGCTAGCAGTCCATAGCACAAGAGGGGGTCTTTGTTAGCATTATTAGTAGTGAACAGCATGACACATTTCCCTAGAAAAAAATACTGGTTTGTGTTGACTGAGAAAAAGCCAATTATTTCCTTGACTGAAAAAAACATTAACGATTTAAATTTTTATTCAATTGTTGTCCTAGGAACTCCTTTTGAAGTTCATAATGCTCCAACGTGATCATGCTTTGCATTATTTGGGCTTGTATATGTTATGGTTGGATTTTGATCCTTTGTGACAACAGTGTAGGCTCAGAATAAATCCCGTTACAGGTGGCAGCAGCATCCGTTCTTTTATGTTTTTAATAATGACTGTGAGATCCTTAAAGCATGAACAATTTGTGTACAGTTCAAATTATTTTCTTTCAGCTGAAGCTTGATGATGACATTCTCACATGCAGTAGGAAAAAGAAAGTGTAAAATGCAGCAGTGCTCCAGGTCTGCTGCAAACAGCAGCTCCATCACTGGGAGTCTGTGTGAGGGTCAGAATCATCTGTAGAGATCTCAGCCCAGAGGCCATGCTGTCAAACTGGATTTTGCAGCTCAAGGTACTTTTAGAGAACTAACTTTAGGTGCCTCTAGGCACTCTGACAGTGTCTTAATGGGGCCATAATTCTAACAGCATTAATCAGACCCCAGGATGTAATAGGGAATGATTCATAGAGAAACACAGTGTTCTCTCAGTCCATCACTGTGGGAAGGCATTGATAATGCATGAGTGGGATTTGTGATATTTTTTCAGTTCACATGCTTACGGATTTCCTCTGCAGCTTCAGGAAAGGTTTTATTTCCCTGCAGGAAGCAGTGGCAGAGTCCCTTGAAAGGAAAGGTGAGGTTTCACACACCAGAAGTATGGGTGTGAATAACAACTGGCTAAGGCTGACAGACCCTGCTCAGGCTGGCAGGGTGTCATGGCTGCATAAGCTCACGTACGGAGACTGACCTGATCTTTTGCATTCTAAAGGACTTTCATTCTGTCTGAAGTTGTTCTAAAGCAACCTTGGGGGAAACCATATTGATACTTAAAAAAAGGGATGATGCTTGTAAGATCAAGGCTCTTTTAATAGCATTGCTGCAAATATTAATCCAGTGTTCAAGACAAGCATTCAAGCCTGGCTAGGTGTTCTGCTGGGGCATTTGGTGACCACCAGAGTGTTGGTTAAGCATTGCTCAGTGCTTTAGATGACTAACGTGACACTGTGTGCAATTTTGACCCACTTCCTCCTCCATTTCTTTCTCCTCTCCTTTTGTTTTTCTTTACTTGGTTATCCTTCAGCCTGACACTGAGGATTAAGGGAATGCATCGTTCAGTGTGCTGAGGAAGAAGATGGGGTTGCAGCCCTGGCTCCTATACCAGCTAGGAAGGCGAACAGTTTGATACGGTTCTGACAAAATGTGTGTGAAAATGAATTGCAGAACATGGGAATATGGGACATCAGTGTTGTGATTCAGGAATGTAGAAGGGGTGTTGTCAGACAGTGGACACCTCCTTTCGACTTATCCTAAGAAAAGAGTAGTGAATAAATGAAAATAGTTTCAGACACTTTTTATGTTCTCTGGTTTAAATCTAGGTCTGCTCCAGCTCCTACCCAAGGACCCACTGGTGCTGGGGCTGCAGGACCACTTCCTGCTACTAATGTGTCAAGTAACAAACGGCTGCAGCAGACACAAGCCCAAGTGGATGAAGTAAGTGGCTTCACATGATCAGTTGCTCACCCCAAGGCTGCTCATGTGATTGTTTTTTGTTGGTTTTTTTTCTTCCTTTAAGATGCTTGCCTCACTAGTGATCCAGCAACTCCTTGTCTGAAGACACTGGGTCTGGGAAATGATATTTACCAAAGAATAGCATTTATGAAGAGGCAGACTGTGCTCAGAATGTCTTTTGTACTAATGTACCAGTAACACTTCTGCAGGATAGATATGGACATCAGTACTGTTTCAGAAATTTGTCCCAGAAGGTCATGTTAGGAGGAGAAGTCATAGTGAATCAGATCTTTTAACGTATTCCTGTATTCCTAAAGTTTGAATGCTAATCTTACAGGCTGTTTCATACAAACAAATCATTGGCCTCTTGTTCATACATGTAGGCTTTGAAAATTATACTGGTGAGGGCTGTGTTTATTAGTCAGAGCTGTAATGATTAATCATTACAATTCACCCCCACAGAAGGGCACCCACACATGGCATCACAACATCTTCAACAAGTCCTCACTCCTTCTGGCTGACCTTAGAGGAATATGTGCCTATTCCAGCATGGCTTCTTAAATTATTTAATGTATAGAAAATCCCTGTGCCCTCACCTATAATGCCAGTGTCCATCTAATCGCTGTGGTAATAGGAATAAGTGAGGATACCACTACTTGTGAGTATCATCCCTGAGTGTACCAGCCATCCAGCGCCAGCTGCAGCATCCCTGCACACTTGCTGTGCACATTTGCTGTGCTGGATATTTAGCATAGAGTTTTGCTGAACCCGTGCAGAGACTTAAGTAACTAATTGCTTACTGCCCATGAGGAAATTACCAGGGCCTGTATGACTCTTTTATGCCAGGTCAATAAAATACAAGCTAGAAAATGACTATTTACGTGCATAAAGGCTTCTATTTTCAAAAGCTCAGGATAAACTAAAAAGGATCTCACAACTTGAACTCAAATGCCTTTCTGAAGATGAATTAAATACACCTGTCAAATTGAGCTTTGTCTCTGAGAAGTTTTTTTGCTGAAGGTCAGAACCGGACTCTTTCTCCTCCCTTTTGCTGATGCTTGGAGTTGATCCCAAGAACATCCTCTGTATACAGAAATGCCTAGGTTCAGTTCTCTCATTATTACCAACTTTCACTTCAGTGTAACTTCACTGATGTTGAGTGACTCTTGAAGTAGGGAAAAGAGTATTACATTTCAACATCATTCTAAGGTCAGAATAATTGAAATAAACTTCTTGTCCTGAACGTACTACATCATGATGGTGCTGTAAATGTTTATGTGAGTGACAACCAAAGTAACTGTCCCTGGAAGATGACAAATAATTGCTAGTTATTATTTAAAAAGAGTGATGCAGGTTAGACACATTGGGCTCTTCAAACAAATCAATGGATAAGGCTCCAGTGAGGCTAGTGAAAACCCACTCTGTGTTTGAGATAATCTGTATTCTGATACTTTTAACTCAAGTCAATGCAAGTTTGTCTTCTTGTGCTAAGTAAAAATTTATTTTGACAGAAACTCTTATCGAGTAAGAGAGAGGAGTGTGTAGCTCTTGAATTGGAGGATTATACAGATAGTAATGAGGACCTGAATTTTTTTCAACTGCAGTTGGAGAAGAAGGCAGAGATTAGTATGAGCTGGTTTTGAGCAGCTAGCATGTGGTGAGCAGATACTGATAATCATTGAATGTCAATATAGGAATAGCCAAGGGAGAAAAGCACTACGAGACCTTCTGTCCTATGAAGTCACTGGGTATTATAGCACCTACGGTTCTGATCTATGAAGCATTAATTTGATCTTCCTTGCTAGATTTATTTTGGCCATTTTCCTTTTATGTCTTGTGAGAAAGTAATCTGTAGGTGGCAGCAAACACCACGGCAGAGTGCACTGGCTATTTTTCTGCTCCCAGCGCTGTTGCACACAGCACTCCAGATGTGAGCCCTAAACTCAGTGGTCACAGCTTTGATTGAGAGAGCATTTTTGATATTATTAAAATGATTGGCAGTCCTCTGAAATCAGCATTTCAGCTATATCTATGTTGGGTTTTCTCCTGTAATTTCTCTAGGCATCCTAGATCTTATTTTTCAAGGCTTAGATTGTGCTTTTAGGCTAGACAAACATTTATTTATTTAATAAAAATACTGTCTTGGCTGGATACTCAGGTTAAATTCAATAAATAGTTCTGGAAAAAAAAAAAAAAAAGTAGAGAAGAAGTAGAAATTTTACAGTATTGTGTTTCAGCATTTCCCAGAGAGTTTAAAATTGTGACTATGAAACAGAGTACCAAGACAGATTTTAAAGAAACACTAGCTGATAAATGATTTTATTTTAATTTTCTATTAAGTTTGACATGGAATCAAATGTTTGGAAGGAAACACAAGTAAGAAAAACAAAGTAAGAAAATTTTGTTTTAAGTTTGGACAAAGGAAACAAATCTCTTAAGTTTTGGAGTAGCACTTAGACCAGTGTCAATCTTTTTAAATATTCTTTCACTATTGGTGTCTACTCAAAGTATATAAATCAAGTATATGTATGATTCTGCTTTTGTTGGGTTTTTTTGTTTGTTTGTTTGTCTGTTTTGTTTTTGATTTTTTTCCATAGTTAAATTGCATTATATGCAAATAATATGATTTCCTTATTACAGACTAGGAGAATTTAGCATACCAGCAACCATTTTCACTGCTAGAATAAGAAGACATAACTTTACTGAGATTTGTGTGCCACTTAACTTTTATACTAGTGATGAATTTATCCAGGATTTCTAGTTAGGATTATAAGTTTTCTGGAAGGGATTTTCCTCTAACTCAAATTATAAGATGTATGCATGAATAGACCTTACCCATTATGTACGGGCTGTGCACACTTTTTGCTGAAGATGTGCGCTGAGAGCATGTGAGCCTCCTGCTACCCTTCGGAAGAATTTTGCAGGTAAGGTATTTCATCTCCTCCACTTTCCAGCAGGACTTCAAATTTTGTCTGAGAAGGCATCTTGTCTGGGAAAAACCTGTAGAACAAACAAATTCCTTGGTCAGAAAAGGCATATCTTTTCTCTTACCATGGCTTTATCTAGTCAATTTCTCTAGTTCAAATAAGGAAATTATATTAACTGAATTAATTATATTAAATGTATAAGGAAAATGATAACTTGGGTTTACTGATAACTGGACAATTGCCAACCAAACTGTAGTAGAGGTACAGATCTCTGTCAGTTTTTTTGCATCTGTAGTGAAGCACCTAGTAGGCTAAAGGGAATCAAAAGCTTTAATGAATTTAATTACTGTACTTCATAATGTCCCTTTACTTTTAAGTGCATCTGAGCATGGAATAGCTATGTTCATCCTGTTTTCACTGTGTCTGTTTTCATAGACATGGCTTTTGAGACTCTGTCCAAGTATTTGTCATCACATATTGTAATGGCAAAAACCTGGTTTCATCACAGTATGATGTGTTAGAGTGTGAACATATGGGTGACCCTTGGCTTTACTATATGTTGAATCTAAAGTGGGGGTATGCCTTTGCAGGTGGTAGACATCATGAGAATGAACGTGGACAAGGTGCTAGAAAGAGACCAGAAGCTCTCAGAGCTTGACAACCGGGCAGATGCATTGCAAGCAGGTGCCTCACAGTTTGAAACCAGTGCAGCCAAACTGAAGAGAAAATATTGGTGGAAAAATTGCAAGGTAAGGAGTATAAGGATCTCTTGTTAAGACATGACCTTTTCTTGCATGTACTGGGACTTTGCTTGTAAGATGGGATCTTTAAATAGTCGCTTATCAAGGGGAGAAGTAGGTGCCTTGCCCTCTATGTTGCATGACCACAAACCACTGTGAGAAGTGAGGAAATGACAGTGTCTTTTAAAGTGGGTTAGATTAGGACAGGGTAGATCTTGAAACAACCATCTGTCTTCTCTACTGTCCTCAAAGTCTCATTCTTTCCCTTAAGCTGAGAGAACCACTCTCTTCTCTGCCTTTTCAGACCTTTTCCACTAGCAGGATATGAATATTGTGGCAAAAGTTCACCTTATGTCCCATTTCTCTTCAACACTATCTTTGCTGCTGACTACTGATGGCCACTCATATAATAAAACCTGTTCCCAAAGGAGAATCCAAAATGCATTTTTATTAATCTGTTGTTGCCTGCTTTATCTCTTCAGTCGACAGTGCTATGATGTGTAAAGCAAGGCAGAATATTCTGTTTAAACTACATGCACAAGCACTCCAGAATGAGGTAGATCTAGGTTAGAAACTCAGCTAAGCAGTTTCTCTGAGCCTATTCTAAACTGTTACCCAGTTGTTTTGCCCAGGTGTGCAGGAAGCAGGGCATTCTGGACCTACAGACCCAGATTTTGTGCTAGGTTCACCCACACTGAACTCAGTCACCATAGTGATCTATACTACACTAGACCTTCAAACCAGCTCTCATTCCCCTTTCTTCATTCTCCCTTTCTCCTTATGCTGACAAACAGAACCCTTCTTTCTTTCCTATGACTTCCAGTCTCGGTTAAGTAGGGGGAGCAATAAATAGACTTCCTGCAAATCAACAGATTTTTCTGTCCTCTAGACATATGTTGTGAGGAATGAAGATCTTGACTCAAAATGTCCATATGCTTTTTAAAGTTGTTATTATTCTTCCTATTCTCACTGGGCTAATAATGTGAATTGGGCTGCAGCATCTCTGGTGTCCTCACTAGCATCCATCAAATCTAACATAAGGGCCTCTAACTCAGTGCTGGTACATGTCTGTGCACAGCTGGCCCTGATGAATCTGCTCCTTCCTATCCAGTGAGACATTTCTAGGCTAATGTGCTGGAAACCATGTGGCTGGTGTGGGCTACCTCTCAACAGCACAAGTACACAAAACCAGCAAAAATAACTGCTAGACATCAGACTTCTCCAGCCACCTCTTTCCTGACTATGGAAACATGGAGAAAAGTGGTCAAGATACTCTGGTATAAAGTGGTACCTAGATCAGAAAATCTCCCAAGTTAGAAGGGATCCACAAGAATCATTGACTTCAACTCCTAGCTCCACACAGGACCTCCCAGAATTCCAATATATGTCTGAGAGAGTTGTCCAAACACTTCTTGAACATCTTCAGCATGGTGCTTTGCCTACCGCCCTGGGAGCCTGTTCCAGTGCCCAACCATCTCCGTGGTTTTGGAGAACCTTCTCCTAACTGAACCATGTATGAATCCAGCCAGAGGGAACACATTTGCTTAAGTCATATCTGGAGTTGTATCACTTTAGAAGTCTATTTTTACTTTACTGCTGGAAATGGTTAAGTTTGGTCATTGCATCTTAGCTGATGAGCAAGAACTTGATAGCTTTGACAAGAGGGTAAGTCCGTTGCTGGAGGTCAGCTCTTCCTAAATTTGATACCAAGTCTGGGGCTTTAACAAGTCTTCTACACTGGGTCTTTGCAAGAAGTAACACAGAAAGGGCTGTTAAATAAAAGCAAAAAACTCTGCCTCTGTATTTCATCTGAAAACCTGATTTTCTCTTTTTTCTTGTAACTTTCTTTGAATAGATGATGATCATCCTTGGTGTAGTATGCACAGCCATTCTCATTATAATTATAAGTGAGTAATTCATTTTCTCTTTCATTTATGATCTGAATAGCTCTGTCACTTGTGAAGTGCTGATGTATTAGAAAATAAAACAAAATTTAAAAGGATATAAAATATTTAAATAGATTAATTTGTGAAATTCCCCTTCAAGAGTCATGCTGTTATAGTGAGAATTACTGCAAGCTCATTAGACACATATAGGTAGAATTTATTGATGTTTAATGTATTTTACCTTAGCTTATTATGTAACTTTCCCCAGGATTAAAGGCTCACCCTTTTCATGTTTATATACCTTTTTTATGCAGTCTCAGATATCTTAATTAGAATCAGGGCTACAGCCATAGTTGTTTCTAGTGAGAACAGTAATTGTTGAATTAGCTCATACCTATCACTAGGAGGGTGAAGGCCCACATGGCAAATGGGCGTTTAATGAATTCCCCAGTTCCCACCAAATTAGTTGGAATTTGAGATGTTGCTGCTTCTAAAAATCCCTTTGCATCATAAATACTTCAATATTGGTAACAGATCGTGCAAAGACACGCTGCTTTAATGTCTTCAAACATCATTGTAGGAAGAGAGCATATAAATGAATAATGGCAGTCATGCTGGTTGGGAGCCAGGGATCTGGTAATGACAGGAATTAAACATTTTATTTATGTAACCTCTGGGCTAGCAACAGCCGTTACATGACATAACAGTAACATGGTATTAACTCCAAAAAGGGAAATTTCTTGAGTTAGATACAGCTGGTAACCCACAGGCGATTCACCAGGAGGCTACACTGTGGATGGGAATTAATTCCCAGCTCTCAAATTACATGCCTCACCTTTGGCATGTTTCCATTTTCCTGTTATTTCTGTAAAGGAGGCTTACAGAATCACCTGTAAACATAACTGAATGGATTGAGATACAGGTGGAAGTTTATTAGTCTTATGAATGCTGGCACCAGAGTGACCCAGAATGATTGTAGGGTTTCATAACTCTAATACAGTGAGAATGAGAACTGGCTAGATATTAATTAACTATATTAACCGGGTACTCGAGGTGAGTGGCTTCAAGAGGAAGACAGGCCTTTGTTCTGAAGTTTAGTGCAGCAACCTGAGAAGACAGATATGCAGCCATTGAATTGCTTACTGCGTGTATATATATATATATATCGAGTACTCTATATCTTAACAAGAAAGTAAAAACCAGACAAGATAGCTAATAATTTCTCCTTAAAAGTTAACTCTGAAATTATGTATGAGTGATAACGTTGTTTTCCTCCTGGTTTTAAATGCTGAGTGCCTGCCTTGGTAAGTCTGGAAACAGAAGTAGCAAGTTTGACATGCTTAGGTTGGATTCAGTATTTAATCACAAATGTGAGCGTCACATCATCAAACCGGGGTCTGTGTATTGAACTCAAAAGTGTCTTCATTTACAGCAGTTCTCAAGTATATTTGTAAATTCAGTTATCATCAGGTGTTCAGTTGGCTGCCATAGACAAGGCATGTAATTGATGTGAATGTCAACAAGATATCTGCAGTGCCGGGCTGGTTATAGACACAGATAAACTGGGTAGTTCCTCACAGTAAGCAACAAACTACAATAGGTAATGTGATCCAAGCTGAGCTACCTTTCATCTTGGTAGTGAGACCCTGGACGAGTAGGCTGGCTGCCCAAGGAAGATCTACTCCATGTGGGCATGCAGGTATTGCTGGGGGTGGTTGCTCACATCAACGTCGCTCCTTGTCTTTTCTATTTCTGGAGCCACAGTTTCCCTGCTTTCCACTCCAGTTCTCCCTTTAAATGCATTTTGGGATGGGAGTCACAGTTCTATTCCAAGCAGGAAGGCACAATGTTAAACCCTGTGTTCTTTCAGCAAAAGATGTGCTTGTCATCCTCAGGTAGAACAAGCTTCTGTGAGATAAAGCACAGTGGTAACGCTGTACTAACCAATGTTGTATGTCTTATTTTTCCCCTTTTGCTTCCTTTCTCAGTTTATTTCTCCACTTGAAAAAATGAAGAAGGAAGACTTGGCACAACTTTGTTCGTATCAACCAACAATATCAGTGTTCCTTTGTTGAACTCCGCTTTTTAATTCCTGGTGTCTTGGGATTTTTGCTTCTAATAACGTATAAGCATTCAGTGTGGTGTGTTTTGGAATTCTGTTGTTTCCACAAGAAACTGTACCAGCTAAATACTGCCAAGTAGTTCCATACACTGTCTTATCACTGTGTCTTAAAATGTGCACGCACTGACCTTTAGAAACTGTAGTATATGAAAAGCATCCTAAATATCTCAGAATTGGAGAATGCAGCTGTAGGAGAGTTCCTGCATAAAGGGACACTGTCAGGTTTCAGCAAACATGAGGGCCAAAATTCTTAGTCTGAGTACCTAAAGTTGTGTGGCAAAATCCACTATCAGATGCAGCTTTTTGAGGTAGCAAGTGTCTGCTG